CATTTATGAAACAATACTGTGTCACAGAAACTTAGATTAACTCGTAATTTTAGATGTTTCCCCTAAAATTCCTTAGGAGAAGTAGAAGTAGACACAAATGAGACATGAGAAATATTTGAAAAAAAAAGAGTCAATATAACACAGATAACAGAATAACTCTTTATTGTCTTGCTGCAATCTCTATCAAGACTCCATAATAGTAATATTTTATTGCTCAGTGGTTGCTCTTTCTAAACTCAGGAGACTTAGTTGTGATTCTCATGTGCTTCTCATTTTAGTCTCAAAAGTATCTCAGATGTCTCTCCTAAAAATCTTTATAAAAGTTCTACTTATAGAAGTAGAAATAAAATTAGACAACTGAGAAATGAGAAAGTTATGAAAGGCTGGAATCCAAAATGACAATGGGAGAGAAACATGGGAGATCTCTTTATTGTCTTGCTGTAATCTCTTGCAAGCTTTTACTACTCAGTGGTTGCTTTTTTTATTGCAATGGGGTGTTTCACCTTTAATGGTCAGGACAGTAGGAGTAGAGACAGGAAACAATTAGACAGGTGAGAATTGAATAGGAGCAGGAAAGTACCTTTAGTTGGGATTCGAATCCATGTTGTCTGGGGTGCAGTTGTGCCTTCACAATCTGAAGGGATTGAAGGGACACTATCCTTAGGATACTAAGGGGTGATTCTCGTATATGTCTCATTGAGATATCAGCTTTGTCTTAAGATGTCTTCAGTTTTATTTTAGGAGAAACGTTAAACTTTTACTAATATTGTAAATACTAAAACTATCATTTAAATAGCATTAAACATTTCAGAATATCAAGGGTTACTAGGTTAAATGTTTAAATTTATCTTCAATGTCCAGCATTGTATATGCACCACATTTTTCAGACACACTAGAAAGGACTTAAGTGCAAGATGTTTAGTATAAGAGCAATATCTTTTTTTTTACAAATGTAACACTTTACCAGGTTTTTTTTTTGGTTTTTTTAGCATAAAAATTTTGTCTTGTACAGCCCATTTTTGCATGTATGTAAATATAGGTTATGGTTTCCTCTGTTAAATCATTGTGCAATAAAACACTGTCTACATAAAACAACTTCAAATATGACAATGCATGTATTGTCTTTGATTGAAATGGCCTTTATTTAGTGCCTTTCAAGTACTTCACTTGACGCACACTTTGTAAAGTTGTTGGGATCTCTTCTAAAGCTTTACAGGAGACAAATATGAGACCCCCAGATTATTTAGCTAAAGAGAAAATCTAAGCACAGTGTGTGATGTTGTTGAGATCTCTAATCTAACCATTTGAGGAGACAAATGTGAGAGATCCAGAGTCTCTAGCTAAGGAGAAAAATCGGAGCACAGTGTGTGATGTTGTTGAGATCTTGTTTGAAACTTTGGAGGAGACAAATGTGAGACCACCAGAGTCTTTAGACTAGGAGAAATATCTGAGCACAGTGTGTGATGTTGTTGAGATCTCTTCTAAAGCTTTAAAGGAGACCATTGTGAGAGTGTTAGAGTTTTTGGAGACAAGTTTGAGAAGCAGGAGACTCAAGCAAAAATCTCAATTCGATCTTAAAGTAACCTCATTTCTGTCTAGGAGAAATATTTGAGATCTCACTTTTGATTTGTCTTTCCTATGGGTTGTTACTCTCTGTTCAATGTGGCTTCTCCTGTAATTGGGGGAAATTAAACCCCATTATGTTCTTAATGAACCCACTTGAGAAGTTCCAAAGGCACTGTCCCGACACATGCCCTGCTCTCAAACATCTAAGATGACTCAACCAATCACCCTTTGTTTCCAAATTCAAGCAAAAGGGCTTTGTTAGCACTAAAAGGCAAGTAAATAAACCCCACCAGGGGTATAAAGTACCAGTAATGGCCTACAATGAGAGCTTGTGGCTTTTAATACAGCATGAGACTTTCATGGTGAAGATGTGGTCTGTCAAAAGCAAAGGGAAGCTGAAAAGAAGTTGTGGTTTATAATAGATAGAGGGGTAAGAGAGATGAGTGGAGTCTTATAGTTGTACTGGATGGTGTGATGTAAAGTTAAATGTAATATTTCTGTCCTCCTTTAATCTCAACGATTTAAAATAAAATGTAAAAAATAATATATTTACCAAAATGTGTGTTATATAAATATATATATATATATATATATATATACATAAAATAGAAAATAATTAATTAAAACAATCCATCTTATCCCATCCTATCTTGCTCTGTCAAACTCCTGTTTTGTCTCCTGAGTGCCATTGTATGCCCTCTTTGAAGAATAATCAATTTTGTGCCATGTGTGAGAGTGGATAATGCCAGTGCTCAACGATGTTCATGACTCTGGCGTCTGTAATTTATGGGAAGTTGTGCCCACTCAAAGACGCTTCTCTGAAAGCTTTCCAGTTGGAGATGACGTGACGTCGTAATTGACCACAAACATAATGGGCTCACTTTAGTGATGAGGAAATGCGATCTTCACTTTAAGCATATACAATTTGCAAATGACTCCAGAAATTTCATAATAGACCAGTGAATCAGTAAATATGGAACGCAGTGTAATGGCAAAAAGCTTACAGGGTTTCTTTTTTTAATCGCTTTGATCCTATTTTTACTTTGAGTATATATACTCTGCAAGAGAAATTAATAGATAACTTTGTGTAAACAAGTCAGATCAGAGTAGGCATAATAGAAAGATTCAAATGAAGTCTGGGTGTCATTGTGAACCATGGCTGTCAAATTACTGTAACACCTCAGTCTGAGAATATCAACTATTTAGGCACATTGAAACAGCATGTTTGTCAGGAAAACTTGTCTCCAGACTGTGCAGCACAAGAGCAAATGGTAAATAGCATTATTATACACAAGGGAAAATATAAATATTTTATTTTGTAAATGTAAATATTTAAATTTAAATAATGAGGTGGCAATTTTGTAATTGTACGACGTAAATGAGTGTTAAACACTACACATATTTTTCTATGGGGCCCAAAAACATTTGAACAAAATGGGACTGTTATGTGTTTATTTAGTTGTTGTTAGTCAGTGTTTTATGTATTTGTTCAGTAACTGATTGCCATTTTCACATTTTTACAGTGCATTTCATTTTAAGCATTTTCCCTTTAAAATGCTTAAGATGAAATGCACTGTAAAAAGTGGTAACCTGCAACTGTTACTTTAAGGAGATATTTTTACCTGGTTTAACGTCAGGGTTTTGCATGCACATAAGTAGTTGAAGTGGGGATCTAAAATGCAACATTTTAACAAATAAAAAAAAACCTCAAGAAAATATCAGACAAAAGAGAACTGAAATATAGGGCTATAAATATACATAATAATGAGAACTAAAGAAACAGGTGTGCACAAGGAGTAGGAGACCATGGTGGAGCCAGCAGAATGGAGATATTGAAAAAATGAGGTGGAGCCAGAGAAAATGGAGTCCAGAGTGAAGCTGAAGGAAGGGAGGGCCAAGGAGGACCTGGAAGATCGAAAGACTTAGCGAGAAGCAGTGAGAATGAGGACCAAGGCAGAGCCAGAGGGATGGAGGACCCAAGTGGAGCTGAAGGATTGGCGAGCCAAGGTGGAGCCAGGGGATCCACAGAACCAAGAGGACCAGGGGATCAACAGAACAAGGTGGAGCCAGGGGATCAACAGAACAAGGTGGACCAGGGGATCCACAGCCACAGAACAAGGTGGACCAGGGGATCCACAGAACAAGGTGGACCAGGGGGATGACAGACACAAAGATGATGGACCACAGTTGAGCTGATGGATCATAGAGCCACAGAGCAGCCGAGTGATTGAAGGGCCAAGGTGGAGCCAAAAGTCTTGGGTTTGGGTCACGACCTGGAAGACTATGTGGATCTGATGGCTCAGGAGACTGAAGGCCAGGGACTGTACTGTAGTTGCCAAGACAGGAGCATACTGTATCAACAACAATTTTTACTTTATTTACATTAATGTACACTGGTACACTGGACATTATATAAAAGTTATTATATGTAAAAATATATATATATATATTTTCACATAAATAGTGAAAAAATATTATTGAGTTGTTAAAGTAAAAAAGTGTCTCCACACTGAAACTTGGTTCATTCAGCACCTCTAAGGATGATTGGTATCTTGTATTATCTTATTATATATTGTATAATCTTATGATGTATTGTTACAGTTAGAAAAGGCAAAGAGGATTATTCTATTGTGTTTTTTGTAATTGAAACATTGAATGTCATAATAATCTTTGTCTTCAAAGGTACAGTTACATGGTGCCCTCCAGGACATGGGGCCCCTTATGGTGAATCCAGACCTAAAAAAAATTCTGTTTGAAAGGAAGCATAGCTACACAACCCTAAACAATAGCAAGTTTTGAATGATTGACTAGCTATGCCACAAGGCTGATCAGTTTGAAGTTTGTAAAAATGTACCATTTATTTGTGAAACACTTACTTGTGAAAAAAGTACCAACATGATTGTAATTCTTTAGATTTATAATGAAAACTACAATGGCAATTGTGACTTTGTGTGTGTGATGAAAATGCCAAACAAAAGAGAAAATGTAACAAAATGCAGAGTTACAATAAGGAACACATTAAATGCATGCTTTTTCCAGTAAAAAACACTACCCGTGCCCTTATGCGTGTCTAAGGCACTTTCAAAAATCAACTATAATTAATCAACTATAATTACACATAGTAATGTGTTTATATTTATAAAAGGTTTGGTTTGTAAAAAAAAAAGAAAGAGAAGAAACATTTTCTTAAAATAATGCTGGAAATAGATGGGCAAATGAGCAGGCTATTAGGGAAATGGATAGTCAAGGCCCCTGGGGGCCACAGAGAGGAGAGGCATGAACATGAAAAGGGGAGGGAAATTGTGGTCAAGGTTTTTTCTAACAAGATCTTTCACTCAGCAGATGTACAGTAGTGAGGAACACTGGTTTATCCTGCACCGGATCTCAGCTCAAGAGTTTCTTCAGCTTACACTTCTACACAACACACTTCTACTATGGCTCACAGAGTCCTGCGCTTCATCACTGACTTCTTCGTCTATGAAACAGCCAAATCGGTTGTGGTGAAGAGCTGGTCTGTTGGAATCATCAACCGTGTCGTCCAGCTGTTAATTATTCTGTATTTCATCTGGTAAGCTTTGATTATTTCTTTGTTGCTAATATAAATTTAAACTCTTTTTAAATATTATAGTTTCAGTTTAAGGGCTAGTAAACTGGGGAATGAATGAAGTGAAGGGCTTGGACTGTTTGAGAGTGAAAGAGCAGAAAATGTAGTTAAACTTTGATTATGATGAATGTAAATGTTTGAAATAATGATATAAAAATAAAGAGCTGGAACTTAGCAATTAATAGAATTGATGAAATGTGTTTATATTGTGTTGCAAATGGGTGTAAGTACACCACGATTAACAAAATATGAAGAAAAATGTATGTACATTATGCATATGCAAAAGTCACGTTGGATAAAAGCATCTGCTAAATGAATAAATGTTAATGCAAATCATGATGTAATAGAATTATCTATCTATATGAAAAATATAAATATATGAAAATTTGAAGTAAGAAAAAAGTATATATTATATATATCACGGCAATCATGATATCTATCTATCTATAAAATGATAGTCATGATAAATTGTTTAATGATTTACATAACTATGGGAGTAACTATTAGCCTGCTTAGATGATCATTTTAGCCGATCAAATAATCATAAAAGTTTTTTTTTTTTTTTTAATGACCATAATAATGAACATGTTTGATGACTTTTTTTGGTGTTATGTGTGCATGTTTGTATTTTCAGCTGGGTGTTTATGCATGAAAAAGGACATCAGCTCCGGGACACGGGAATCGAGTCTGCGGTCATGACCAAAGTGAAAGGCTTGGGCAAATTTAACAACCGTGTGATGGACGTAGCAGACTATGTAGTTCCCTCACAGGTCAGCAAATGTACATTTCATTGCTGAAATATGAAATCATTCGCCTGCCTCTCTGTAAAGTCTTGGTCTGGGGTGAACATTTCTGAACATTTTTAGGGTGGTTCTTCGTTCTCTGTCATCATCAGCATGGTCATCACAGCCAATCAGACGCAAGGACGATGCCCCGAGGTAACACATAAACCTCGGCTGACTTGATATACTTTAAATACGCTCACTTATGTATTTTAACACATGCACTTTCTCTCTACTCCTCTCTTGTCTGTCAGACTGATCATAAGTTTAAATGCACTACTGATGATTACTGCATGGCAAAACTGGACTCAAATTTAGGAAATGGTGAGTTCAGTCTTCTAGTCTTCAGAGGCTGACATCACTATCAGGTCTTCTAATACTCATTATACTTCAATGTATTATTAGCAGTGAAACATGCTTCAACATTGCTTCAGATGCTGATCTGTCCTTCATCACAGGTATTATAACGGGCACATGCTTGAACAAGAATAATGAGACAACAGGATGGTGTGAAATTGAAGGCTGGTGTCCTGCAGAGGATGACAACGTTTCAGAGTAAGACATTTTTGGACTTGTAATTCAGATATTGTACACAATTGGAGTTATCTTGTAATCCAAAATCGATTGGATTAAACATGTTTTAATGCTAGATGCATTCATTAATCTGCTCACTCTTAGAAATCCAATGAAAGAGGTGGAAAACTTCACCATCTTCATAAAGAACAGCATTCGCTTCCCTCTGTTTAATGTCACTAGGTGAGTTTCATCTGTACAAGAATCAAAAACCTTACTGTTGTGAGAAGCCATTCTCAAAAAAAAAATTTCTGAAATTAATCTAATTTAAATTAGCGTTGCATCATCAATGGACAGCCCCCTTAAATTTAATTAATATATTCCCCCTTTGAAACAAAGGAAATTCAAATGGCCAAAATAATAATAACAATAATAATAATATTATTTTTATAATATTGCTTCATACTGATGTCCTGTTTCTCTCTCTTGCCTTCACAGAGGCAATTTCCCTTCAAGCCTAAACCAGTCTTACATTCAGAGCTGTCATTATGATCCGGTGGACCATCCGTTCTGTCCGGTCTTTAAAGTGGGAGATATCCTGAGACACATCAATCAAAGTTTGGACAGCATTACTGACAAAGTAGGTCCATTCAGCTTGACCTCTCATCTGATCACTCATTCGATTTGCAATTTATCAAAGACATCTGTTTCATTATTTTGATAAACAATCAACAATCCATTTAATCTGTCAGATGACTGCTGCTGGATTGTTAGAGCAAAAGTTGTCTTGATTGGCATGGTGTCACACAACAACAGTCTGTTCTGTAACCAAAATGTGTGGGCTAGTTATTGCAGTGCCATCAAGATCAGCTTCAAAACATAAGTTATGGAGAAAGCCCTAGAGCAGGGCTTCCCAAATGGGGGTTTGTGAACCCCTGGAGGTTCATGAGAGAATTGCAGGGGGTTTTGGGGACGCAGTGTGTGCTAGGTTCACTTTCTTTACATTCACATCTGCATTATTTCCGACATTTTTGTGGACAGACGTTACAGCATTTCAACAATATTCCACCAAAATAAATGCTATACAGGATTTAACATATTAAAAAAGGGTTTGAATTTAAGTTTAAATATCGCAGTTCAAATCGCATAGGCATATATGATAATCTAAATAATAATAATAATAGCCTAATAATAATAATAATAATGTAATTGATCACAATAAAATACTTAGAAAAAAATATTAAATATTTTATCTAACTTGCATGTCATGTGACCGTGAATATGCAAATGTGTCGTTAAATTCTTGAAATCCTCAAACAAAACAGTTTTGAGAACCAAAAAAAAATTTACTGTAGAGGGGAAAAAGCCTCTCGATCGCCCCCTGGAGGAGAACGGAAGAATGAGGAGGCTGAGAGAGAAACTGTAAGCGGACAGAAGCCACAGAGAAAACAAAATGAAAGAAAATAAATGTTTAAAATGATAAAGGGAACAACCTACAATGCTGAGCGATGAGGAAGTGCATTAACTGACGAGTGGAGGAAAGGCAAAAGCTTACAGCACCTGGTATTCCCAGGCGGTCTCCCATCCAAGTACTAACCAGGCCCGACCCTGCTTAGCTTCCGAGATCGGACGAGATCTGGCGTGCTCAGGGTGGTATGGCCGTAAGCGAGAGACAAAGTCACTAAAGAGCTATTTAAAGAAGACACACCGGCAGCAGCCCTACACGAAGAGGCCTGTATTGACACACGTCCCGGGCTGCAGCTGCGAGACAAACAGGCCCCTCTCCCCCCTCAAGTGCTCATGTCTTTTAAAACTTTTTTCCACTAAATATTCCTGCTTCAATCAAAGTTCAGCTCAGTCCACAGCATTTGGGCCATAACGTTGATTAACACAGAAAGTCAGCTCAAGAAAAGAAAAAGAAAAAGAAAAAAATGTGGCAAGGTTTTGAGAATTTAAAAGCAGAAATGTGAAGCATATAGTTTTATGAAAAAAGGAACATTAACATTTACTTGCTTTTTCTGTGTTCTGAAGAGTTGCACTATATGATATATAATCAAATATAAAAATAAAAACAAAACAAAAAGCCAGGGCAAAAAAGAAAAGCATTTACATAATGTAAAACCCTGTGAGAACATTTTTATTTATTTATTTGACTTTTCATGGTTTTTTTATGCCCATCATAGACACAGCTTAGGAAATGTAGTCTACCGCAGAAAAGATTAATAAGCCTTTCACACAAAAATCATGTTAACAAGCATATTGTTTACATCACGTGGCTCTATTTTTGAAACTGTGATTATTACTTTTTTAAAAGAGGACGATAGACACGATTCATTTTACTGCTACATCCATTGTCTTCTATTGTATCCAAAACATGACTGACCTTCATAACACTTTACAGTGTTTCACATTCACTTTCTCCAGAGATACAGACAGTGATGCTGTGTATGGAAGGTTTTACTTCTGGGACAAAATTGTCCTCAGAAGTGAGCTAAATCTGATAAAAACCTCTCTTTGAATGCCCAGGTATGTCTTCAAAGATTAAAATGATACAAACAGGCCTTTATGATGGGCCACAAATTACAGAGGAACCCCTAACAGGTCCCAACCAGCTCCAACACACACACATGTAGTTTACAAATAATCCTGATGGACTTGATGAGCTGCTTGATTCGATCAGGTGTGTTTAATTATAGGGT